TACACAGCTACTAACCTTTGTAAATACAACCCCTTCATTTTTTCAGGCTTTTGACTAATTAGACAAAAGAAACAGAAATGTAAGGTAAACGATCAATCATCCTGATCGCTTTTCAGTGTCTTCAACCATGTCGTATTTCAATATAAACAGGATGCTTCTAATTAACACAATCATGCCCAGGATGTAAAGATCTCAACCAGAAAATCACACACAATAGGCCTAAGGAACAGATTTCATGGTACTGGTGCAAAGGTTAAGTGCTTGACTGCTAAATGAAAGGTTGGCAGCTCAAGCCCACCCAGCAGCTCAGCGGGAGAAAGGCGTGGCAATCTGTTCCCATAAAGACAACGGCTAGGAAACCCTACGGGGCAGTTCTACTCTGTCACGTGGGGTCGCTATGAGTCAATATCGACTCGATGGCACCTAACAACAACAACAATAAGGCTTTCTAGCATCACTAATAAAATCCCTCTTGCCAAAGGCACTCCCCAAAAATCATCTCACCAAGAACAACTGATTGTGACAAAACCTGTATGAGAAAACTAGTCAAAAAGATCACCAGACATCAGACCATTTTCTTAACATGTTCATTTATGCATTCATAAAATACCATCACATGCCTAAAATATTTACTATCTGGCCCTGTACTTTTAGAAAAAAATTGCCAATCTCTATTGTAACCAACTTTTAGGTTTGTCATTTGCAAAGTTGTGGACAGTAATAACTAACTCACCTATTTGCAGTGACAATTAAGGAAGACAATATATCTGGAAAAATATGATAATAGCAAGCACCCCAAAATGAGAACTGTACTCTAATTCAGGCTCTGACACTCCAGCATCTTTTTAGGAAAAGAAAAATATCCCGTCCCTACTCTATCTTACTATCGCGTCACTCCTTTGTAGGAGGATTCTGTTCCCCCTGCAAATGCTCCATCTCCCAACACTCTTCTAGAAGAGGCCTGTATCTCCTATTACAACCAGCCTCAAAGCCTATTCCATGTCTTGCTCATTTCTGTTAACAGCCCCACCATTCTCTCTTCAGCTTTTGTGAAATCATTTGACAAATTATATTTATTCAACCTACATAATACCTTATAATCCATCCCTTCTTGTACATTTCCACTGCCTACTCCTATTTCAGGTCCCCATTACTTCTCTACCCTTCCAGTGGCCTCATAAGTCATTTCCTGTATCAACATTTTTAAGTGTCCTATACACAAACGGCAGAAATGAAAGAATATTAAACAAACAAAAATCTACTTTTAAGACTATTAAAATTTTCTCAGCAAGTCCTATACTACTGAGAGGGTTGTTCGTTATGGGTTTTTGTTTTGTTTTGTTTTAACTTTGGGTGGGTTTTACTTCTCCTGAGGCTAGAAAGCCAGAGGACTGCTATTTAAATATTCCTCTCAGATGGTGCCTCAAACCCAACATGAGAAAATAGTTACAGAAATCCCTAATGGTCTAGCCAACATACATTTTTCATAAAGTGATTATCTTCCTGCAGCCTCAGCTTCCTAAGCCTTTCCCCCCTTCTATAATTGTTTTCCTTGTAGGCCAGGCAACAATTACCAACTGCTACAAGACTGAGGAGGTTCACAAACAATATATTTTACAATATATAAGCGTAGTGTCTCTGATATCTGGTGCTTTTATCACTAATTGCACTATAAAATGCGCTACTAAAACAGGGCCAAACAAGATTGTAAAAATCACATAATGGACCATGACCACTTATAAAAGACATTCATAAACATTACTGTACTACTTAATTTTCTTTAATTTTCCAGATACATAATTACTGTTTCTAATTTTTTGGAAACAATAATGGTATCTAGGTGATACCATCAAGAAAAAGAATATATTTGGGAATTACATAATACATGTGCTTGCCCATATATATACACTGTTTTATAAATTTGCTCACAATTAAAATTATATAGAATGTCAGACAATGTGCAATGAGCACTGAGTTTCTAGGGACATCTATGTGGTCCCTTGAAATAAATTATACGTATGACAAGAACATAGAGGTGTGATATTCCTTAAAGTTCAGAGCAAGGGAATGAAAGTATTGGAAAAAAAAAAAAAAGCATGTCACAATTCTAATCTATGAAACATACAATATAACATATCCAATAAAACATTTCTACCTTGGGGAAAGACAGAATGATCAAAGGGTGATATTATGCCAATTACTGGAGGATGCGGATCAGTAGGCTGCCTATAGTATTTCATGTCATCAGCACTCACTAATTCATGGGCTAATTTTCAAGTTTGTAGATGAGCCTTTCAACCCCTTCACTATTTATTCACATGTCTAACCATTAAAAAAATAGGAATCAGGAATAAGAGAAAATAAAAATGAAAGTATTTTTGTTATACATTAATAACTCTAATGAATACTTAGGCATAGTACTGATTATGATGGAATATTAGCATTATCTCTAGGCTTCATTTATCAATTACCAAAGACAAACTGGTTCTAAAAATATCACAGGACAGGACTTCCGGGCAACATGGTGCTATAGTCAGAAGCACCATGCCTTGCCTCCACAGCAAAGATCAGAAAAGCTAAGTCAAACAGAGTCAAACGTCAATCCTGAAACACTAAGCATCAAATGAAGAGATAACTCAGCCAAGCACCGAATGGAATAAGAAATTGACCGAGAACAGAAGGCAAGGAGAGATACATGCAGAGGTCCCCTATCAGCTACCGCAGCATGGATCCACCATCTTGGACTACTACTGGAGATCAGCGAACAGTGGGTATGAGAAAGCAGCTTCACAGAGCTTCCAGCAGGAAACAGAACAACCGGTAACCAGCGATATAGGCCTTCTCACCCCCCACCATTCTTCACCCCCACTTAGCCTCCTCTGCTTCCTGCAGCCACACTCTCTTGGCCGGGAAAAACAAGCTTCACCCCGGTGTCACTTGGATTCCAACCTCCCGCACTTGCCAGCTCCCTGAGTGCCTTTAGTTGGCTGCTGGTGTCGCTTTTTTCCACTTCTTCACATTTCTTCCTTACCTCTCACCACCTCCTCCTCCTTTCTCTCAAATACCTGGCTCTGTGCGCCATCTTTGCTTCTTCCTGAAAGGCTACGAAACACTGCTTGACTGTGAAACTGCTTCCAGGCCCGTGTCACAACACTGGTGGGACACCCGGGGCTTTTTTGTTTGTTTGCTCTGATATGTTCTGTTTTGATTTATTTGTTTTCTTTTTCTTTTCTTGGCTTGGGAGCCCCTTCAAGCTGGGCAGTATAGCACAGCTTGAAAGCTACTCCCTTACTCTGCGCAGATATACAGGGACATCCCTGGAAGCATTTCTTTTTTTGTTTTTTTTGTTGTTGTTGTTTGTTTCCTTCTCTCTCTTATTCCCTTTTTGTCTTTCTTCAGTTCCAGTTTCTCAATTTATTCTTTTTTTTCCTTTTACCCTTTTTCTTTTTTTTTTTTTCATTTTTGTTTTTCCTCATTTCTCAGTCTCCCATCTCACCACTCCAATAGCAAGCTCCCTTAGCACTCTTTTTTGTTTGTTTGTATGTTTTTGGGAACTGTTCCTCTCTCCTCTCTCTCATCTTTCCCATACCCAGCTTAGCTCCACACATCACAATCTCCTTCCTGCCTACCTGCACTGTGCGCTGAACATCACACTCCCAAGCAGCACAGGCAC